GAAAACATTGGTGAATGCCACAAATTCTCCTAAATCACTCGTATGCACAACTTAAGAACAAATCTGTGCGTACGAACGGTTCTTGCATGAGGCCCAATATTTTTTACAAAACATAATTTGTTTAGAACGATCAGAAATGTTAGCTTGTCAAAATAAGCTAGCTGTCACGTTCTCTTGTCCTGGTCACACTTCCTCGCTCACCAGCTTGGTCAGAGCATCAGGTTGGAACTGATCACTGGGAATTGTTCTGAAAAAGCTTGGAAACTGCTGCTTATCTGACAGACAGGAGCAGATGGCAAAGTGGCTAAACTTTATAAGAAAAGAAAAAGAAAAAGCTAGCATGAGTAAGTTAATTTGTCTTTGYAGCATGACAGACACATTCAATTATTTATTTTTATAAACTAATGTTGCAATAAGGTCAGTTCATCTACTTGAGGGATGTTGAAGGACCCGATGATGCGTGACATGCTGACGGATGGTGAGGATCCAGATTCTCCAACAACAGCCATCACAATACCAGATTGGGAACAATTACTGCCTTTGTAGAACACAGGGTCCAGTCTATTTGTTACCTGAAACGCTACATATACAGCTACAGGCACGGAGGCACACGAGTCAAAGATCTGATATCCGAGTTTGATGACCGGCAGCAGCTCTGTGCTGTTGTTTATCTCCTCAAGGGCAAAGATCAAAGCTCGAGAGAAGCGTAGCTCTGTTAATACTGCACATAAACATTTACAATATAACAGTTTGAAGCATTATGTCACTTTATTTTTTTTATTCAAAATATATTTTCTCGAAAGATACACTTTCTTAAGCATGTTAATAAAGGTGAAAGTAAGACATCAGTTCAAAATATAAAAAGCTACTTTTGAGTGAAAAATAGGTAAAATGTAAGAATTGTTCTGTKCAAATATGCAAATAATCTGATAGATTAGACACTTTGATTAAAAATAAACACTTGTGCAAAGATCAAAACTTGTTTAAACAGTAATTTAGCTTTTAAACAATTTTCATCTTTGTGTAAATGTACAATGTAGAAACATTTTTWTCCAGTCTAACATCCTGTGCTTTTCCCACCACCTTTTCTTACTAACGTCTCTGTGCAGCTGGGCGGCTCGGGCAAGCTGGTGTAGGTCTAAATCTTTGTCTGCTCTTTGAAATGAATGGAAAAAGCTCCCCCAATAATATAGCCCCCATCCATAGTGAAAGCAGGTGCAGTAGTACCCTGCAGGGTACGCTACAAAGATAAAGCTTCAGTTTCCCCATCTTCTGAGAGTCCAGTCCGTTGTTTGAGACTGTCCACAGACCCACCCAAGCCGATAACTGAGTTCAACTCAAACCAACACAGAGCCAGTCTCAGGCCAATAAGGAAAACTGATATCTCCATCCTTCAGCTGTCTCCTTGTTGGCATAAGGAGATGTTTATTGATTTATATAGCTCTGGATTATGTCAGTATGATACATCATGGAGGACATGTCACCAGGAGGTCTTTACCTTTACGGGTCAAATTTATACCTTAAATGTTGTTCTATTCACCAGGAATTTGATGACTTGCCCTAAAGTGACTCAAAAATAAATAAAAATGAAAAGATTTATATTTTTAAATTATACTCTTGTGCTACACTTTTCTGTACACTAAAGCTGTTAGGGGCCAATTTGTTGCATCTCTACTAAATTATATTTTAGATCCAACAATGAGAGTAAAACCAGGAAAATTGTGGTTTTAGGTAATCTGCTCTTCTTCCCACCACATTTTGTCCAGGTTCCTCCACAGACATGCACCCGCTACTCTTTGCAAAGGGGTCAGGGTGGAAATCTTGAAACAGTTTAAGATTAAAGTTGCATCAGAGTGACCATTAATGACACATATTAACACAACAACACACACCAAACTAATGATGTTTAAACTTTAGATGCAAATCCTATGTCTGAGTCAAGGCCACCCTCCAACCTCCAAAAGACCTTGCGGGGG